TTTCCCTGGGAAAGTCCCAGGAAGTGTGGGCGCGGGCCTGTATTGCCGAAGCAATACTCTTTGTCGAATTGGTTTAATAATATGTTGTGAGTGATGGCGTGAATGAGGTGTGTTTGACAAATCGTCTCGAGATTTGGAAAACGAGCGGATCATACAGAAGAACAGGGAGTAAAACAGAAGAACCGCGTTGTTATTGATATTAGAGAGTACGTGAGAATTTATTGGGAGATATAATTAGAGACCGTTGATCAGATTATCATTATTCCTTTTTACGTGTGTTTATAGTTATTATGAAATTATTGTTATAAAATATATTCCTATTCAACTTATCATCACGTATTATACAACCACACTCTTGTTCTCGAGGACGAAGAAACTCGGAGATGTTTAGAAAAACATCTCTCGATTCTTTGCCTCGAGGGCCAAGAGTCGACAGGCCTAAGTGCGTGACCCCCCGTGGCGGTCGTCACAGTACCCCCTTATCAGAGATAGCGCCAAGGAAAACGAAAAGAAAAAAATAAACATGCGTACGAATCTTCTAGAAAGATTTACGTTCGTAATGTTTGAACTTTGACGCATTTAACCTAAGATATTTATGGACTATTTACGTCTAACTAAATGTACCGCAATCATATATGTATACTCAAATCACATCAAAATGATAAAATACGTATAGTTAACATCGTAAAAAAAAAAGGAAAATATAATACGATAATATATATATGAGAGAAAAAACATAGTGGTACATAAAGACGAAATTAAAACTAACGCAAAATCCTTAACTATAGTCCGGCTTGTAACCGATCGGGAAATCTGATGCGTCTACCTGACCGAGTGGTGTGATTGTTCTGTCGAGGTAACGTCTTCGTTCGTATAGTCGGGGCCACGATATAGCGAGGTCGTAAATTAAACTCTCAAGAAACGGCACCGATTGATGTTGCGGATCTCAAGGCCGTGTGTTGCAGTCTGTTCGAGGGTTCTAACAATAAATGAATGGTAGCATATCATTTGGTATTTCAAGTAGAAAATGGTATTTCATTTACAAATGGAAAATATGTTAATATTAAGCTACACAACCTTTTTGCATTTTCTATCTGTATATAACACGAGCAGGTAAATTAAGATGTTAAAGATCTCAATAAGACCTTTACCTGTAACCGTACTTCCAAAAGCGGCTTTGCCCAGAGGGAAAGACCCTACTTTGACTTAGCTGCACGCAGTTCTCAATAAATATATTAGAATCAGTTTCAAGTACTTATCTGCTCGTATTTTTGTCAATTTCTGGGTCCCGGCAGCTAAAACATGTTTACTTTGACGCCTGATCGATTTTACGACCTCGCTATATCGTGGCCCCGACAATACGTGTCGTCGTGTCCCATTCGTGATTCTGTTGCCGTTCCGGATTTTCGTTTTGTTCATCGTCAATCAACACAAAGGCTGGCTTCAAACGATCAACGGAAACTGTAGTGTGTTTTCCGTTAATATCAATAATGAAAGTTTTGTCGCCACGCTTCAAAACCTTGAAGGGCCCATCGTAAGAGGGCTGTAAAGGACCCTTGACTGCGTCGTGGCGGAGGAAGATATATGGCGACGAGGTGAGTTCCTTAAAAATGAAAGTTTTTCTCGTCCCGTGACGACGGACAAAGGAGAGTCGAAGTTTCTTGAAATGTTTACGTAATTGTGAAGTAAACTCCGAAGTATCCTTGGCCTTATTGGATACAAAGAACTCGCCCGGTAATCGTAATCTAGTCCCGTATACCATTTCCGCCGCCGACGCACCCAAATCCTCCTTGAAGGTTGACCGTATACCGAGCAAAACAATAGGTAGAATTTCAACCCAGTTTTCGGTCGCGTAGCTTTTTATTGCAGCCTTTAATTGACGATGAAATCGTTCCACCATGCCATTTGCTTGCGGATGGTAGGCGGTTGTGCGCAAATGTGTTGCGCCAATTACGCGTGACAATTCCTTGAATAAGTGGGATTCGAATTGACGTCCCTGATCCGTTGTGATACGTAGGGGGACTCCAAATCGAGATACCCAAATGTTCAAGAATGCTCTCGCGACTGTTTCCGCATCGATTTCTGAGATGGGCATCACTTCCGGCCAACGAGAAAAACGGTCGATGCACGTTAAACAATATTTACGGCCTCTAGATGTTGGCAAAGGCCTTACAATATCAATGTGTACGTGCTCGAACCGACCAGCACACTGGAAATCTGTAATTGGGGCCGTAACGTGCCTGGAGACCTTTACTCGTTAGCAGGAAATGCAATGTTTTGCCCATCGTCTAACGTCTTTGTTGATAGACGGCCAGACAAAACGGTCGGTTACAAGCCGTTGCGTCGCACGGACTCCCGGGTGGGAAAGTCCGTGAAGGGTGTTTGGTCGCGTCACAGCGTCGACGTTAGAATTTGCGACGGTTTGATGACGCGGACTTCGAACTGTTAATTTTGCAATCTTCAGTGAAGTCTTTCGACGGATGCAATGGATACGTAGTGGACTGTATTGAATTTTGAGTAATCACACTGTTTTTGACTTAATACGCGTCCCGCTGCGACCATGGGATGCACTGAGAGCCGCGGTCGACTGATGTCGTAAATCTCAGTCCGATTTGAATCGACAACTTGATCACGTATGTCCTTACGACCGTTTAAGATTATAAGGATAGTAGGGGTGTGTAAAGGCGAAGTTCAATGAATGTAGGAAATGATAACAGGTAGATTATTTAATAAATAACACTTAGAAATTTAATGATGGATCAGCAGAAATAACGAGCTCGGCGCGCGAGCGCCCCGCGCTCTCTCCCAGAGTTTCTTTCCGCTTCGAACGAAGATGGAAGCGATCTTCCGTCCCTCAACACGTTCGATTAAGTTCTGTCCTCGGGTAGTTACGTCAACAGACTCCGACAGGGTCGCCGGCCCGATAGTACCAACCACGAGGCACTCCACGCGTGAACCATTGTGCAATTTCGTGAAATAATCTGCGGGAACTGTGGCTCTGCGAATGAGGAAGTAAGTAGGCTATCGTTTGTAAGCATTAGGTCGTTCATTGTGTTCGTACAGAAAGAGTATTGTATAATTTCGATTCAGTTTCCTCGTCAAAATGACCGTATATCAGTGTTAATGCCCGTGATTGTTTTAAAATCAACTTTCGAGCTTGGTTTGTACTTGTTTGGTCGCGTCACAGCGTCGACGTTAGAATTTGCGACGGTTTGATGACGCGGACTTCGAACTGTTAATTTTGCAATCTTCAGTGAAGTCTTTCGAAGGATGCGATGGATACGTAGTGGACTGTATTGAATTTTGAGTAAACACACAATGTTGAACAACGATATACTTGTATTTAAATAGTTAACCAGATATGTTACAATAATGTCTGTATCGAATGTGTATGCTAATGTGTAAGTGACTGTTGGTGCTTGTAATACTAAAAATTGAAGTCTGTGCGTGCTATTTTATCAACTTGCTGTCTGCTTCTATTCGCTGTTTAAATGTGTAGTGGAGGTGGTTGAGGAGTGTTGATTGGATTTTGTGAGTATTCCGGGGGTGACTGTCGTGTCGAGAGGGTGGGGGTATTGTTGTTAAATATTTGTTGTATTGTAGCGTCGAGTCCTGGTTCATCTGGTCGGTCGGCAGGCTACCGCTTCTGGTGGCCAGATGAGAGGGTTTCCTAAATAATTGTAAATTTGCGAGCCGTGTCGCCTAAACCTTCGCCTTGAACAGATTTAGGTTTTTACAACCGAACATGCCGCCCGCCTTGAACGGCTACGTTCAAAGTATTATGTGTAATATGATGTATGTATCGAGAATGACGTGTAAATATGTGTAAATATGTAGATGTATGTTCTGCATGTTACTTAAAAACTAAATTGGATTTATATACAATGGCTTACTGACTATGTACAAAATTTACAAATAGATTAGGTTGTTTCTATTGGTTATGGTGACAGTTTCTTTATGCTGCGTTTATACACGCCTTGCGGCGTCTGGACCGTGGCCACGCGGACAATTCCGTCTTCTCCTGGGTGGACTGCAATGATGCGTCCAAGTTTCCAGTGCAGGGGTGGGCAATTTTCCTCCTTCACAGTTACCAGAGTTCCCTCCTTGATCAGTGTGTGGTCTCCAGTATGCCATTTATTTCGGGTGTGGAGTTCCTGCAAATATTCCCTTTGCCACCTTTTCCAAAAATGGTGTTTTAATTTTTGTATATGCTGCCATAGTGACAACTTGTTGGCGGGTGTATCCACGAAATCGTGCTCGGGTGGGTTTGTCAACGAATCGCCTATTAAGAAATGGCTGGGTGATAGTGCAAGGAAATCGTTGGGGTCCGAGGATAGTGGTGTTAAAGGTCGGGAATTAAGGATTGCTTCTATCTCGACTATCAATGTGTAAAATTGCTCATAGGTGAACAATGCGTCGCCTACTGTTTTATATAAATGTCTTTTGAACGATTTAACTGCAGCCTCTCAAAGGCCGCCAAAATGTGGAGAGCGACGAGGGGGGGAAAAATGCCACTCGACATTTTCCTTTGCAGCATAATTTTGCATATTGGTTTTATAATTTTCTGATTGTAAGAATGTATGGATTTGCCTCATTTCATTGTTTACGCCTACAAAATTAGAGGCGTTGTCCGAATATATGTGACGCGGCCTCCCCCTTCTTGCGAAGAACCGTTTGAGAATCCCTAGACATGAGTCCGCGGTTAAATCGGTGGCAAGTTCCAAGTGAATCGCCCTTGTTGCGAAGCAGACAAACACAGCGACGTAAGCCTTTAATTTCTTCACATTGCGAAATTTCTTTTCCTTTATGAGGAAGGGACCGCAGTAATCAATTCCTACTGTTTCAAATGGACGAGTTAAGGTTACTCTATCTTGCGGTAAGTTTCCCATCAAATACCGCGGTGTCTTGGTATTTAATTTGCAACACCGAATGCAATTATGTATTATGCGTTTAATAACGCTTTTACCATTTATTGGCCAATATTGTTGTCTGACCGCGTATCAGGTGGCCTGTGTACCAGCATGCCAGTGACGTAAATGCGCTTGTCTAACAATTAAGTCAGTTACTTGGTGCCGGTGCGGTAGTATAATTGGGTGTTTTTGACCATACCTGAGCGGCGCGTGCTTTAGTCTACCCCCGACCCTAAGGATACCGCTGTCGTCGATGAATGGGTTTAAGCTTAGTAGCCTACTTTTTCTATTGAGCGGTTTACCCCTTTTTAAATTGTGTATTTCAATGCTAAATGCTTCACATTGTGTTACTTGTATAATTCGATTATGCGCGGCACGAATTTCCTGCAGTGATAGGGTTCCGGTGATTTTACTATTATCCTTTTTTATGTTATTTGCAAAACGTAGTATGTATGCGACTATTTTACTTAAATGCTCAATACATGAATATTTTTGTAGTAATCCTCCGACATTTGTCTGGGTGGGTAGGGCAATGACCTGTTTTTTTTCTGGTACTTGTATAGGTTCTATGTTATTAACTGGCCAAAAGGCACTATCCTTTGTTAGCCAGCACGGGCCGTTTAACCATAGACCATTTTGAATGAATTGCGACGGTAATTGACCTCTGGAGATGAAGTCTGCGGGATTGTCTACGGTTGAAACATGGAACCAATCTTGAGAGTCGGTTTCTGTTTGGATGTCGCTAACCCTGTTCGCTACGAAAGCTTTGAGCATGTGTGGTGGAGTTTTGATCCAGTGTAACGCGATGGTCGAGTCCGACCAAAATCTGACCTTATCGATATTTACGTTTGTTAGCGACCCTTTGACCTCCTTGTACAGATTGACAAGAAGTCTGCTTGCGCAAAGCTCGAGGCGCGGTAGGGATACTGTCTTTACCGGTGCAACGCGTGATTTCGCACACAATAAATGCACTGCGTGTTTTCCCTCCTTATTTGTTGATCTAATATAGATACATGCGCCATACGCGCTCTCACTGGCATCACAAAACCCGTGGAGCTGTAGCTGTATCATCTGTGTTGTAATTATTCCTCGTGGAGCCGAAAAATTGCTTAGCACATGCAATTCGTTTTTTATGTTTAACCATGATTGTTGTATTGGTTGGGGAACGTTGTCATCCCAGCCAATAGCTGCCTTCCATAGTTGCTGCATGATAATCTTGGCACTTATAATAATTGGCCCGAGTAGCCCAAGTGGGTCGAATAATTGTGAAATTTGTGAGAGGAGTGTTCTCTTGGTAATATGTGTTTGTCTCGAGAAGGGTTCGCTTTTGTAAATGATTTTATCGTCTAATGGATTCCAAAATATCCCTAACGTTTTTTTTGTTTCCGATGGATCTAGACACAGTGTATCCTGCTGATTTTTAGCTTGTAAATCAGTAATCAAACGAGTGTCATTAGAGGTCCACTGTCGCAAGTGGAAACCTCCCCGTGAAGCTAATGCAATTATTTGATCTCTTGCTTCGAATGCTGCTTCGAGGCTAGAAGCGCCTGTGAGCAAATCGTCCACATAAAAATCTCCTTTGAATATTTTTGCGGCTATTGGCAAATCTTTCGACTCATCTTCTGCTAATTGTCGTAAACATCGAACGGCCAGAAATGGTGCGGAAGCGGTGCCATATGTTACAGTGTTCAATTCAAAGGTTTTAATGGGTTTGTCCATAGATTCTCGCCACAGGATTTTTTGGAACTTTCTGTCGTCGTGGTGTACCTTTATCTGTCGGTACATTTTTTCAATGTCCGCGGTTATTACGTATGTGTGTGACCGAAATCTGAGTAAAATAGAAAATAATGTGTCCTGTATCGTTGGGCCTGTTAATAACGCGTCGTTTAACGATATACCTGTGGTGCCCTTTGCCGAAGCGTCGAAAACTACCTGTATTTTTGTGGTCGCACTTGATTCCTTTCGTACCGCGTGGTGAGGTAGGTAATGTCCTGTATCCAGGTCATCAGCTACCTCACGCATGTGCCCTAGCTCTAAATATTCCCGCATGAATTGTGTGTAGTGTTTCGAAAGTTCTGAGTCCCGTTGCAATCTACGCTCTAAGCCATAAAATCTTTTCAAACCAACGTTTTTCGAATCGCCAAGCAAATGCTTCTTTGTGTTAAATGGCAGCCTTACTGTGTATCTCCCTTGTGCGTCACGCGATGTATGTTTTGCGAAATGATTCTCGCATTCTGTTTCCTCCGCGGAGAGAAAGTGCCTTTCCGAAATCTCTTCAATTGTCCAAAATCGCGTTAATTGTTTGTCCAATGAAGTTGCTATATGGCATACGTGGTTTGACGTTTCTTTGAGAGGTTCCCCTTTGGGATTGATCTCTCCCGTGACTATCCATCCTAGTAGTGTGTTTTGTAGTGTGATGGACGTGTTGCATAATTTAAAATTGCCAGTTCTTAAAAGGTCATAAAATAGTGTATTCCCGAACAATGCGTCTATTTCTCTTGGTCTGTGAAATTCTGGATCTGCTAAATGTATGTGTGGAGGTATCGTGAGGTTCTCGCGGTTGACTTGTCGGATAGGTAGTAATCCTATAATCGCGGGAAGCGCAATGAAATTGATTTGTGATTCGAACCGACTATTCATGGATTTTATTTTTGTTGTGACGAAGTATTCCGCGTGTGTTTTGACTTGTCCTAAACCTGAATAAGATAATTCTATTTTCTTTTTGTTTAGTTCTAGTCGATCGGCAAAGCGCTGTGTAATGAAGTGCGTTTGGGATCCACTGTCTAATAATACTCGGCAGATGTGCTCATTATTGTATCTGTCTGTGATTTTTATTAGCGCGGTTCCGAGCAAGACTTCTGAATTGTACGATGCTGTCAACACGGTTTTGACAGAGTCCGCTGATGATGTCGATTGTTCTGTAGTCGGCGTAACGTTTTGTTTTTCGTTTGTAAAATGGAGTAGTGTGTGATGTCGCTTATCGCATTTTTTGCAATTACCTAATCGGCAATTGATCACCGAATGATTGACGCGAAGGCAATTTAGACAAAGTTTTGCCTTCTTCGCGGTATCGAAGCGCTCGCGAACTTGCATTTGCAGAAATTTACCGCATGAATAAATTGGGTGATTCCCTTTACAGAGTGTGCACTTTGTCTGATCGCCTTGTGTGGAGATATATGTTTGTTTATACGTTTTCGATCGTGACCGATTGTCTGATATGTTGAGTCGTGAATTGTTTAACGATTCTGGTTCCATGTCGTTTCCGCGTGCGCGCTTATTTATGAAGGTGAGCAATTGGTCTAAATGAGGAAGTTCTTCATCTTCCAGTGTCCTTTCCCACTCGCGTCGCGTATTTTTATCAAGTCTTTTCGAGATGTGATAAACTAATATTGTATCCCAGTGTTGAATAGGTTGGTCTAGTGCCTTCAATGCATTTATATGCATTTGTGCCTGCTCAGACAAATGTCTGAGGTTGTTCGGAGAATCCCGAGTGATCTCCGGGAGATCATATGTATAAGCGATTTAAATGAGCATATATAATCTGTCGCGGTTTGTTGCATCGTTTGCGTAATAAATCCCAAGCTACCAGATAGTTGGTTTCGGACGCGTTTAATGACGTGATGACTGCGGCCGCTTCCCCGCGGAGCGCATTTTTCAACAAATGGAACTTTTGTACCCCTATTAGGTCTTCGTTCTGATGCACTAATGATTTGAATGTATCGTGGAAACTATGCCACTCGATTAGATTGCCGTCAAAAGGTTTTAATTCTATTTTCGGCAACAAAAGGTTTGCCTGTTTTATGGTTGTGCTCGGTGAATCTACCTGCCTAGCTGCGTACGTGGGTCTAACGGGTTCTCGTAAGGTCTTTAATTTCTGGTTTAAGAGTTCCGCGGTTCGATTAGATTGCCGTCAAAAGGTTTTAATTCTATTTTCGGCAACAAAAGGTTTGCCTGTTTTATGGTTGTGCTCGGTGAATCTACCTGCCTAGCTGCGTACGTGGGTCTAACGGGTTCTCGTAAGGTCTTTAATTTCTCGTTTAAGAGTTCCGCGGCTAAATAATATTGTGTTTCAAACTGCTCCTGTTCTGGAGTGTGGTCAACCGTTTCGTCATCTACTTCTAATGCTAATTGGACCTCCGCGAATGTATTAAAATATTGCTCTAGTTTTGCTTGTCGCGTCTCTAACGCTGCAATGGAAATGTCCGGTGTATCGGTCAGGTAAGCCGTCATGCGGGTTACCTGGCCCTTAATAGTGGCTCGTTGCCTTTTCAGACTTTTTATGCTCGTTGTTTCCCGACCCGTACTCATTGTATTCGAGCTTGAAGCAATTTGGACTCGAAGGAATATGTATGTTATTGGATAGCGATTCGCTTTGACTCACCCACACGGCGATTTGTGATGCGTCTGATGTGGGCTGGATGCTGCTGAAGTTTAGCACGCTGGCGTCCTTCAGGCTCGACTCTGATTCAAAATGATGAATCTGGCACTGCTGACGAAGGTGATACAGGTGAACACCACTGACCCTATTGGCTGCTGTGTCCGGTGGTCGTCGTGGTCCTGTAGCTCGTCGTCGAGGTGCTGCTTCCTGGATTCGCTTCAAGGGCGATCCAAGTCCGTAATCTCCTGATTGGAGATGGTGTTGGTTGGTCCGGATTGTTTGAATCCGGCTCGAAGGACCAAAATGTTTGGTCGCGTCACAGCGTCGACGATTATTTCCGCGACGATAATATGACGCGGACTTCGAACTGGGTTCCTTTCAATGAAGTCCAGTGAAGTCTTTCGAAATGGTCACAGATATGTTACAATAATAGTGTCTGTATCGAATGTGTATGCTAATGTGTAAGTGACTGTTGGTGCTTGTAATACTAAAATCGAAGTCTGTGCGTGCTATTTTATCAACTTGCTGTGTGCTTCTATTCGCTGTTTAAATGTGTAGTGGAGGTGGTTGAGGAGTGTTGATTGGATTTTGTGAGTATTCCGGGGGTGACTGTCGTGTCGAGAGGGTGGGGCTATTGTTGTTAAATATTTGTTGTATTGTAGGGTCGAGTCCTGGTTCATCTGGTCGGTCGGCAAGCTGCTGCTTCTGGTGGCCAGATGAGAGGGTTTCCTAAATAATTGTAAATTTGCGAGCCGTGTCGCCTAAACCTTCGCCTTGAACAGATTTAGGTTTTTACAACCGAACAAAGGGCTTCGAAAACCGCCCGTCGTAAAGGCGCGGGTACAAAAGGCCGATGCGTTCGTAGTGTCGCAAAATAAAAACGCGTTGCCCGTGAGAAAATGGACTTTTTTCAATTGGATCGAAACGGTGTTAGATTTTAAAATTTCTTGCAACTCCTGATCAAGTTCTTGCGCTTGTTGCAAGGTTTTGGAATCAGGGGCTGCAGTTATTGTCTCGATTCGTGAAAGCGCGTCAGCTACGTTGTTGTCTGCGCTTTTTATGTACCTGATATCGGTCGTAAATTAACTTATATAGTCCAGGTATCGAAATTGACGCGACGAACATTTTTCTAATTTTTGACTGAACGCAAAGGTTAGGGGCTTATGGTCTGTAAAAATTATGAAATTTCGCCCTTCGATGAAGTGACGGAAACGTTTTACTGCGGTATATGCCGCCAACAGTTCGCGGTCATACGCACTGTACTTGCGTTGAGCGACGGATAGAGCCTTTGTGAAAAACGAAAGGGGTTGCAATGAGCCTTTCGCTAATTGTTGGAGAACCGCTCCAACAGCATAGTCCGACGCGTCGACTGTAATATTAATGGGCGCGCCCGGAATGAGATGCGCCAACATCGTGGCATCGGCAAGGCCCTTTTTTATATCTGCAAAAGCTCTTTCCGCTGCTTCTGACCAGGGAACAGGTGTATTGCCTTTTTTCGCACCTGCCAAAAGGTCATTCAAAGGCTTCAAGGTATGCGCGGCGCCAGGTATAAAACGGCGGTAAAAATTGATCATGCCGAGGAATCTCCGCAGTAACCGTATGGTCTCAGGCTTCGGAAAATTTGTAATTGCATCGACACGTTCGGCTAAAGGTCTAATCCCATACCGGTTTACGGTGTAACCCAAGAAAGTGATTTCTTCGACCTCGAAGACACATTTGGCAGGGTTAATAACAATCCTGTATTCCGAAAAACGGTCGAATAACATTTTCAGATGTTTCTTATGCTCGGTTTCATTTTCCGAGGCGATAAGAAAATCATCTATGTAAGCGACTACAAAATCGAAATCGCGGATTACTTGGTCTACGAAGCGCTGACATGTTTGTGCAGCGTTCCGCAGACCGAACGGCATGAAAACAAATTCGAATAACCCAAAAGGGGTTGATATAGCCGTTTTCGCGCAATCGTTCGGCGCGACAGGTATCTGATTAAACGCGTGGACTAAGTCGATTTTGCTAAAAAATCGTTTACCGTGTAAGGCGTGGGCAAAATCCTCGATGTGAGGAGACGCGTACCTGTCGAGAACCGTGCGTGCGTTTAAAGTTCGGTAATCGCCGCATGGACGTACAGATTTACCGTCCTTCTTTGATGCGAGGTGAAGAGGTGCAGATCACGGGCTCTTGGATGGTCGGAGACTCCCTGGCGTAGCATCAGGTTGAATTCGGCCTTCGCTACCTGTAGACGGTCCGGGGCGAGACGCCGTGGTTTACAATGTACCGGCGCTCCCGGCGTCGTCTCGATGTGGTGCTGGACGGTATGTTTTACCGTCTCCTTGCCGAACACAGGTGGCCTCGTCAAATCCAGGTACTCCGCCAAAAGTTTATGGTACACCGAATAACCCACAATTGTTTTAATTGACGCGGCACTACCACACACAGATTTGCCTATCGCGAACAACTCAGTGGATGCGTCCATCAAGCGTTTGTTTCGCGAGTCCACTAATAAGTTATAGTGCGATAAAAAATCAACACCCACGATCGGAATTTCAACGTCATGAACCCCGAACCGCCATACTAACAAGTCTCGACGCAACGCGAAATTCAAACTTAACACCACACTGCCATTCGTTGTGATGGGGGTTCCGTTTGCCGCGTGGAGCACATAATCGTGTTTAAAGTGTTTACCTCGCACACGTGAACGCGGAAAAACGCATAGATCTGCTCCCGTGTCGATTAAAAACTTCACACGCGAGTAACGGTCCGTTATAAATATGCGGCCACCCGTAGGACCATCGGACTCGGACGCCGATGTCGCCGACGGTCCTCAGCGTTTCCCTGCTTAGGTCCGTCCCACTTGCACGGTGAAGTACACCGGTTAGCCCGTTCGGCGTAATTTCTGTGATACCAGCACACGGAATCTTTCGCAGTACTGGCGTCGCGCCGCTTCTTGCTGGAGCGCCGTTTCCCGGGTCGATCGCGTGAATTTGATCGGAGACGTAGTGGTCCCCGATCACCAAGGGCTGCGTCGAGTCGCAGGCTCAAACGTTTCATCTCCTCTCGAAGGAGATCAATATCCGAGGAAGGGCGCGTGGACGTGGAGGCAATCCTGTCCCGTGAAATGGGTATTTCGTGGATCCGGTCCGCGATTTCTGCTAGCATGGCTCCGTCCTTAATGGACGTTGCAGCAAGGACAAGTTGTGTACTCGTCGGTAACCGATTCTTCCACATTTCTGTCAGGAAATCGTCGCAGACAGCTGAGCCTCCAAGGTCTTTCAAATGCCGCCAGAATTGCACCGGAGTACGATCGCCTATTTCCTCCGTCTCTAATAATTTACGGGCTCGCGTCGTATCCGAGTCTGATAAGCGTTTTATCAGTTCTGCCTTGATGGTTTAGTACCTTTTTGAGTCCGGTGGGTTACAAATGATGTCATCCACCTCTTCGGCGTACTTTGCGTCTAGCTGAGTGACGACGTAGCCAAACTTGGTGTCGTCTTTGGTTATTCGGCCGATCGTGAATTGCGCCTCCAACTGGCGAAACCATATTCCTATCTTTTGTGGCCAAAAGGTAGGTACGCGAATCGGGGCGGCGGCGAGGTTGATCGTTTCCTTATTGACGTTAATGGTGTCGTCATAAATGAACCTGTCCGCCGGACTCTCCATAATGTAGCTTATTGGCACTAATAAAACTTACACTCACGTGTTCCGTTCACTATACTAATCACGTCGGGGTCACCAATTTGGAAGTGACGTGGTGTAAAGTAATTACTCGGGCAAGTTGTTTAATAAAAATATATTTAATTGAATCCGATAACGCTTAACCTAATTTTGAAGTGTAGGCGACGCGAGTCTACGACAAAAGGCCTCGTGCCTTTTTCGGGGCTCCCTTAAGTAGCCCCTTTTCCCTGGGAAAGTCCCAGGAAGTGGGGGCGCGGGCCTGCATTGCCGAGGCAATACTCTTGTCCTCGAGGACGAAAAAACTCGGAGATGTTTAGAAAAACATCTCTCGATTCTTCGCCTCGAGGGCCAAGAGTCGACAGGCTTAAGTGTGTGGCCCCCCGTGGCGGTCGCCACAACCGTATAAAGTTAATAGAGTATTTGATGACCTGACAGTAGAACTGGCAGTCGGATTTAATAAGTTTAAAATAGTTCATTCAAATAAATTAAAGCTGGCTTGCATAAGACCGGATGTTTCAAATGTAGAAAATTAATGTTAAAATTCCAATGGTACATAATGCGTCTTATTTACTCATTATTATTATCCAATTTTGCGTTTATTATAGTTATGTAAGTCGTTTACCTAGGAGTTGTATTTGTATTTTATGTATATCTACAAGCGACCCAGTTATTAATGCCTTACTAGGACGCCGCTCTTCTTTTCTTTTTACTTACTTCTTTTTACAAACTGTAATAGACACCCTAATGTGTGTGCCTAATAGAAAAGCTGTTTATGAAAACACCTTTTTGTATAAGGGGGAAGGTGTTACGCTATCGCGTGAACGTAGTTTTAATCGCTCGCCGTGCATGCCCATGAACGTGGCTTTAGGGCGGTCTGAATCTAGTGTCATGTGGCGCCTCGAAGTGTGAATGTTAAAACGCGCCAAATTCAAATTGTATAACGGTGTAGCCGAAGCAATGAACAAAAGAATCCAAAACAAGTACATACAGTGTACAGTAAATCTCATCGATTGCTATTTGCAATCGCTCGTTAAAATCAATATTTATCGTCGTTGCTATGGACAAAGCATTGCTGAGGTGTAAAACACTCGCTTTAAAGGAAATATGTATTCATAAACAAATGTTGAGAACCAATCAAATTCTTCCTTAGATAACTTTATACAAAACCCTTAGTTTAATT